TTCAATCGAAATTAAATTGGAATGATGTGGAATAATTTTTAGCGTAAAAGTATGAGTATAACGCCTTCTGATGAAGTCAGATTTTATATAATAAAATAGTATAATCGATATTATAATTTCTTGTAAATAGATTGTACTTTTGAGGTAAATAAAATTTTGTGAATAAATGATCTTCGGGTTATAGTTCCATTTTATTATACTGCTTGTAAATAAATTGAAGTAATAAATGAGTTATGTTGGAATAAACAAGACTTATATCTAAATAAATAATGAAAAATAATAAAGAAAAAATTGATGATTTATTTTGTTAAAAATTGTTGTGTAAATAATATTAATATAATACAATTACATTTTTAAGAACATAATCAGACTTTTCTACATAATCGCATATTTATTATTTCAACTTAACAAATTTTTTATCATATTTATTTTGCTTTTGTTCACTTTGAAAATTGCAATGAATTTTCATTATAAGATTAATTGCATTATTTATACACATATCAATATCATATGTGTGATATTATACAATAATCTATATAATATTTTTTTACATAAATTTGTTATGTACAAATTACACGTAATATACTAAATAGAATAAAAGTAAATTTATCGTCTTAAAAATGTTAAGTTGAAGGAGCACTCAAAGTTTTGATTAGTCTGCCAAAACGTCCAAAACTTCTAACAGTATTATATTCAGTGTTATACACGCTGCCGTATTTGCATAATATCATAATATTTTACACGAGGAAAGTTTGAAATATATCTAACATAAAACTGTGAACTAATTTGTATTTTTTTTATAATAATTAAAGCAATTTAATGCTTTGTATCTTAACACCAAATTTTTAAATAAATTGTAACAATAATTATCCGATAGTAAAATGTAAAATAAGTTAATTTAAAACTTGATTTAAAGTTTTAAATATTAAGAATACAAAGTTAGTAGTGTACTAATATAATTCAACCGGTTTGTTCTTTTTATTAAAACATTGTTCTCACTATAATAAAGTTCCAAAATATATTTTTAAATAAAATAAGGTTTAAAAATATTAATATTTAAATATTGTATTTAAAAAAATAGTCAAAGGATTTGTTTCTATATAATTTGTACAAAAGGTTTTCCTAATTATTCAGTGTTCTGTGTTAGGTTATACATTTTCGAAAGGAACCTCGAAAGCTGTTTGATGTCTAATTATTATTAGAACATCATAAAGCAGTTTTTATGAAGATGTCGCTAGGGTGTGATAATATTGTCTGAAAACAAACTAATAAGGTTAGCAAAGTTTGGAAAGGATCGGAAGTTAGGGTTGTGACGTTACACAACGGTAATTGTTTTGGTCTGATTCCTCCTTCTGCTCGAAAAGATCGCTTAGGTCTCCTTAGGTGACTATAATAATAAGAATGGATTAGGTTTAAATTTAAGTGTGAAGGGGAGGAAAGTTAAGTACGATTCCTTAAAAACTTGTAACATTTAGAACGAAAGTCGTTGTACATACTATAAAAAATATCTATGAAAAAATATTTAATAATATAAAAAAATAATAATAAATTATAAAATGAAGTTTTGAAGATATCAAAGCTGTTTTACATAAATTTTGCAATATAATAGAACATGTCACGGTGCTTTTTACATTTGAAAAACAGTAAATATTTTTGTTTACGAAATAGAAAGTGGACAGACAAGTTTCATTGAATTAAGAAACGCAATCGTCACGCTCGAACCTCTTAATCCGATTTTCTTGTCGACTTTCGAGTTCCCGATGTCCGAAAAACAGCAAGGAGGGAAAAGTTAAATCCCATTCTCACGTTAAGTCGATTTACACGACTGTTTGTCAGGTTTGTCCGACTTAAAATACTAAAACCACTTCAGCGAAAGGCAAAGCATTTCTAAGCTACAATGATTCCTTCAATACTCAACGAAACTGAGGAAGAAAAAACACGCCACTACCATTTAACAGTACAAAGACGAAAATCTTCCCTTTGGAACAAATACCTTTTCTCGACGTAAATCAACAAACAAAAAAAACATATCAAAAAGAAAAAATATTACAATATTAATAATTATAAACAAAATTTTCCTACAGAACAAGTTAAACACTTATGAAGAAGAAGAAGAAGAAATACTCTAATATATAAAAAAAGAATTTTTAATTTTATATATTTTTTTCATAGAAATAAAGAACAGTTAATATTTAAGAATTTTTATCGTTTTAATTTAATTTTCAATTATCAATTGAAAATACAATAAATATTTACGAGAACTATACGAAACTTTATTTACTAAAATAAATCTCTTCTTTGAATGCAAATTATAAGAAATAAATCAACGTTCAAAAATTATAAATATTTAGAAACATAATAAGAGCGTCAAAAAGTACAAATAAGGCAATTTATCAATTTATATGTCAGTAAGATGTAAAACGAGCATGTTCTACCTTCAGATCAGTAACTAACTTAATCAAAGTTATTCCAACTTACAGTGCCTGTACCTTTAAATAAAACTTCACATGTAAGATAACGAAATTTAAAAGTCTTCTAAAAAATATGAATACGTTTCCCAAACGGTTCAACCACAAGCTGTTTACCTAAACGGTTCATTGCAACAGATTTCTACCCTCAACAGTATCGACATGACCGTGTCTTTCAACAGTGCACGAAAACACAAAAGATCCATCAAAAACATTATCGCACGTCGAAGAGGCTATCGAAGAAGCGTCGACGCCAAAAAATTGGCTTAATTATGGGTAGCAATTAAAGGATGATAATGGTCAGGAGGCCACGAGCGCGTCGCGGCGCGCGAGCAAAAAGGGGACCAAGGCAGGAGCGTAAACAAGGGGTGTGCAACGTGGGGGTGGTATGGCCGAGGGGGTGCAAGGGGGAAAGACACGCTCATGCGCGCCTAGAACCCCGCCCTGTCGCTTCGGACGAAAGCTTGTCCCGTCGAGGACTCTCGGTCGAGGTTCGACGAGTAGTCACGCTTTAACTCGCGATCCGCGAGGCGGATGCTAGCCCGGAACACGGAATCGCAGATGCAGCTGCCCGATGTAACGCAACAGGAATCAAAGTTGTTCGATCTTAGCTCCTGCAGCCTGTGTCCGGAGATCCGTCTTCAAGGACGAGAGTTCGATCGGTGATAAGCTCCAGGCTCGGAACAGGTGTCAGGTGTCAGGTGTCAGGTGTAGGTGTCAGGTGTTTCACGCGGTCAGCATCTGTCTTGGCGTGTTCGAGTAAATTGCTGGTAAAAGGCTACCACGAGACATCGGTGACGAAGGATCGAGGATACGTCGATCTGCCTCGAACACGCGTAGCCAGGTGTTCGAATGCTCGGTGTAAACAGGAGCGTCTGGACGCGATCGAGGAGGATTTCCAGAGCGGACGGGAGCAACCAGTTGCGGGTGAACGGGACGCACTTGGTCGGGTGAAAAGGGAGAAGGAGACTCGGGGATCGTTAGATAATCTAACTTGATCAATAGGGGAAGGATTTATTTGAAGAGGGTCGAAGGGGGATAAGGTAGCCCAGCGACGGTGCGGGGAGGCGTTTTAAGGTCGCGATCGGATTTCCTCGGTTACGGTTACAGGGAGTATCGACGCGAGGAAGTGGCGTGTCCTTTAGGAGAAGGAAAGCAGGAAAACTGGGATCAATCCTTGACGCGTGACACGGGTCGCGTTATCCTTCGTCCTCGACCAGAACGCGCCTCCTGTTGATTACGAGCGCTAATGGCAACGGCGGCCGATCGATCATCGACCTCGTTAGCTGGGAAGATCCTTCGGAGACGATTATGCTTGTTCGGTCGATTCGTTGAATAGAGAAAACGTGGAGGGAATAAAACCGGTGCTCGTTATAATGGCTTATTATCGTGTTTTCTAGGAATCGTTAAACGAGTGTTCCGTGCGAAATGTTTTCCACGCAGTGAAACGTATTCACCGCATCGGGGCCTAAGTCGGATCTCGAGTGTCGTCGATTTCGCGATAGAGTTCAGTGATAACTATCGAAAGGTCGTTCGTGGGTGTTCCTGGCGCAAAGATAACGGCCTTGAAACTTTTCCACGCGGATCGGAAGACCGACTCGTTCGTCGTCGAGATGTTCTATGCCCCGACAGCATAGTGACGACAGCTAAAAGGTCGTAATCGATCGACTCACTTCGATGGCCTAAAAGAACTTTAAACGTGCAAGGTCGTTATGCATAGCGATAAAACGAGGACGTCGTAAAGTGCAGAGGAATCGAGCCTAGAGGTTTGCAACGACTAGCCGGAACGAAATAACTCGCCGTGGCCTAACACGACCCCTATCTGCCCGAGAAGAATTCAGTAACGTCTCAACGAAAAGAGAGGCCTACCACAGGCCAGATGACGCGATAGCGGAACTCGCTGATCCGCACGATGTCGTGTCAAGGATATTCCAAGGAGCAGCAACGTATCGGCATTCACGAAATGTGCCAGGCTGACCACGGGATCTCCCTCGAATTCTTACAGGGTTTCTATGAGACTTCGCAGACGTCGTCACGGCTGTCGAAGCGACGATAACGGAGGATTTCGTTTCAGTTCCTTTTGGATCACCGCGTTCGATATAGTCCATCAACTATACAACGGCTATCCAAGGTTACTTACTTCTAAGGAACCCAGGCTACACGCACTGTATCCACGTGGCTCCTAAACAGTGCGAACGTAGAGATCCATGTAAGATGTTCATCAACGTTTACTTCGGTCGAAGAAACTAGCATGTGTTCATCGGTTGTTGCGGCCTACTAAATGAGATCTTTCAAGGAAAGGTTCAGTCAGTCCGTTCAGAAAGGTACTTTTGTTCCACGCGAGAGGAGCGTCGACGATCGACCTCGCCATCGAGCCAACTTCTGACCCCGTGTCACGGCACACACAAAAGCGGCCTCGCCAGCACTCGATGAGTCCTAGTGAAGATAAGGATCCTCGAGTACTCTCGATCGTTTGCCTCGAACGCCTGAAGAAGAAGCTCCGGTTGGCAGCTATCTGAGAGCGGTTGGGTGATGCGCGGGAGCAGCTCTGAGCTCCTGCTGGAGGCGAGCTGCGTCCAGTGTCAGAGCGATCACCAGGCCGATCAGCGCAGACATCAGCAACAGCAGCATCAGCTGAACGAGAAACACGACTTCCAGGAGCGAGAGCTACGTCGTCGCAAACTGTTGGAGCTCGGGTTCGGCGCTTCGCGGCGCCGACCGC